CAGATTTTACTTCTTAAACTTGCCAATAAATACAGTCAAACTACCACAGTAAGAAGCATACCAACTGCACTTACCCGACACACTGAATCCCTTCCTCTTTAGCCACTGCATGTTTACCAGAGTGCCTGTTGCCATCCTTCAGCCGAAGGTGATTTACCTGAGTGCACAAGTTCTGAAGGAAAGGAAGCAGCACCTGTGGTGTAGCTACATTTGGGGTTCCACTCTCTTGTTCCTGCATACGCAAAGATCCCACCACTTTAAAATCATCTCTGACGTCAACTGTACTCTGCTGGGTAGTAAGTCTTTCCGAATCAGAAGTATTCCCTCTTTCAGGTACCTGTGTGTTTAAATCATGGCCTATTCTTAAGTCTTCATGTTCTGTTTCACTTGTTAGATGATTTTTAACAGGCAAAGGTTCACTGGCTGATGGATCCAGTGATGGCTGAAGAGCTGCACTGTGCAACCCATCTACTGCACGGTCACCTCCACAGTCTGCATTTTTCCCCAAGATAATCCAATTCAGTTTGTTTCCAAAAGGTGAACTGTTCTGATGGGAAGAGAAACAACAGGATTAATATTGAGGTATTCAAATATACTGGAAATCATACAGTAACAACAAGGTATTTTATTATCTTAGCATTCGACTACTGTGATGGAAAGATTTTAAAAGCAGTTCTGAATTACATTCTTAGGGAAAAGCACAGGGAAAGATTTTCCCTGGACATATTATGTGTTAATTCTGTCATCACTCTCCAAGCCACAAAACAGTTTTACTGACTTGGTTTTTACCAAGCCGTGTCCCCAAGACTGACCATTATTAACATCAGATGGATTTTGGATTCTGTTGGAATAGCCTACTTTGCAGGATTAGGATCGACATCAAATAAATGCTTTGTAAAAGTATGTTCCCGTTAGTTGAAGGTGACATGCTTCCAATAACCACAAATGGGACAAACCAGCCTGTCTACCTACACACCAGACACTACAGAGAACATGCCATTGACAAGCAGCAAGAATGGAAACAAGCAGAAGAGGAGTTGGGTGGCAGAGAAGGTTAAAATTAACCAGAGTCCTTCACTCTGGACTTGGTGTACGCACAGTGAATCCTTGAGTACACAACCTTTATTCATTGCTCTCATCTAATAGTGGCAATGGCCAAACAAGGATTAAAACCCGACCTCTGGAGACCCCAGCACAACTGGGACATGGAGCTGCTGGAGCAAACATGATCACAGAAATGAGGCACCATTCTTATGGAACCAGGCTAAGAGAGCTGGGCTGGGGCAGCTGGAGAAGAGAAGGCTCCTGAAGGGGACACCTCAGGGCAGCTCCAGTGCCTAAAGAGACTCCAGGAAACCTGGAGAGGGGCTCTGGACAAGGGATGGAGGGACAGGACAAGGGGAATGGCTTGAACCTGCCAGAGGGGAGATTGAGATGAGCTCTGAGGCAGAAGCTCTTCCCTGTGAGGGTGCTGAGGCCCCAGCACAGGGTGCCCAGAGAAGCTGTGGCTGCCCCATCCCTAGCAGTGTTCAAGGCCAGGTTGGACACAGGGGCTTGGAGCAACCTGCTCTAGTGGAAGGTGTCCCTGCCCGTGGCAGGGGTTGGAGCTGGATGAGCTTTAAGGTCCCTCCCAACACAAACCAGTGTTGAAAATGGCAGAAAGTGTGGGCTATAAAAAATAATAATCATAAAACCTTTTCACCAAATCAGTTTAGAACACGATTAACTGTTACAGAAGGCAAAGTCACAGATCAGTAGTGTTTATGGAAAAGCACAGTCACTTACCCTCTGTTGACATCGGACCATGTCCATGAGCTGCTGAGCACCTGGAGACAACTTAGATCCCATTGATTCCATTATAGTTTGCACTCTGTCTAGATCTATGCTTGAGCCTAGTGAAGGAAAATCAGTTGGTAGTTTTGCAGACACCGTTTTCACTTGTACAATTATTTTACTGATGAGTACTCTTTGTTTCTCAC